TTTTTTTTTTCCTCTAGTTTTAATTAACTAAATCATATATCATATTACATATTGTGATCTTATAGGAAGTAGTCTGTGCTGCTGAGTGACTGTTTGTATATGTATATATCTCAGTTGCAGCTGTACTCGGAGGCCAGTATTGCTCTTCTCCACCTAAACACAGCGCAGGATTTTACTGAACTCACCCAGCAGGCCAAGAAGAACCTGACGCTGGAAGGAAAAGAGCTCACAGTCAGTCCGGCGTACCTGTTCTGGGACCTTAGCGCCATCTCACAGGTACACGTCACTGCAGTTTCACACACGGGTAAAAACTAAGCCAATTTGTGCTTGACAAGTCATCAACTTATCAAGTTACTTAACAAAAAAATAAATTCATAATAAACAGTCTTCCTTTTTTTCAGTCTAAACAGGATGAGGATGTTTCTGCCAGTCGCTTTGAAGACAATGAAGAGCTGCGTTATTCTCTACGTTCCATCGAAAAACACGCACCATGGGTGCGGCACATCTTTATCGTAACCAATGGACAGATACCGTCTTGGCTTAACCTGGATAACCCCCGTGTTTCAGTGGTTACTCACCAGGTAAGCTCTGCAAACCCTTGGTGACCAGTAAAGACTATTTACGTTTCTAAAGGATCTCCAAAAGGGTGTTCTGTAATGCATTCTAATACTAATACTGAGTGTTTTTATTTAAGATTTACAGTAATTGACAAAGTCTTATGTTGTTGTTGTTTGTATTTGTTTCTCAGGACATTTTTCAGAACCATTCTCACCTGCCATCATTCAGTTCTCCTGCCATAGAGACCCACATTCACCGAATCCCAGGACTCTCTCAAAAGGTCATCTACCTCAATGATGATGTCATGTTCGGCAAGGACGTGTGGCCTGATGATTTCTACAGCCACTCTAAAGGTCAAAAGGTCAGAAAGACTGTCTATCGGATTCTGTCAGAGAGACTGTTTATTTGAACCGCATGTCTAACAGTTAATGCAGATTTGAATTAAAATGTACATTTTATAAGGCAAATTCTGCATACATACAAAAGATCTATGAATACATGCACTACTGAATACATACAGTACTACCTTTTTAAAGAAATTAATACTGTTATTCAAAAGAGATGCATTAAATTCATCAAAAGTGGCAGTTAAGACATTTTACATT